TGTGACGCGTTACCGTCGAAGGTGCGACGCAACGAGAGCGGCATCGTGAATCTCGACGACTCGACGAGTTCGGATACTCACGTCGCCTACGCGAAGAGGGAAATGACGCGATTTATTTCGACGGTTTCGGCAATCTTCGACTGCCGAGGGAACTTAAGAGATATCTCGGCGGCGACATAAATATAACGTACAATCGCGGATCGTATCAGACGTACGATCAGAGCATCTGCGGTCAGTTGTGCCTGCGATTTCTCTCGAGGATCGGTCGCGATGTCGCTGAGCCTTTCGTTCACCGGTAAGAGTAGCGTTCTCATGGCGTGCTATTTTCTCGCCTTAGATCTGAGCGACGACGATTACGAGTTAGGTCTCACTCAATTTCGAGACGTACAACACTATACCGAACGTCGATTCCACGAATAATAAGTTCTATTACGACGACAAAATGATCGTGATTCCTGAGGGTTCGTACGAGTTGAGCGCGATAGACAGATATTTGAACGCTGCTATCTCTAAAAAGCGAAGGATCGACGAAAACAAGAGGATGAGCGACGAGAGCGACGACATCGTCTACGATGAGAGCGACGAGGGCGAGAGGGGCGCGCGGCCTCTGATCATTCGTGCTAACAAGAACACCATAAGAAGTAAGATTAGGCGAGCATCGAATCGATTTCGCGAAACCGAACAATATCGGTTCGCTCCTAGGATTCTCGTCGTCGCGCGTGCTACGACCGAACAAATAGCACACGTCCGACGGGCCCGTGAATATTATGGGCATGAATATCATTCAGGTGGAGTGCAATATTACCGCGGGTGCGTACAGCAACGACGAACCGATTCACACGATACATGAGTTTTCCCCGAACGTTCCTCCGGGATATAAACTGTCGAACGCTCCGACATCGATCATTTACTTTCCGATCATCGCGCGAAACGTCACCAATATCATGCTTCGAGTCGTGGATTAGGACGGGCGACCGATCGACTTTCGCGGAGAGGAGATAACGGTGCGACTTCACGAAGGCATTAAAGAGATGCGCGAGAACGAAAGATTCTGAATGAGTGGTACGCAAGAGGAGGAGGAGACGCAAACGCTACATCCGCGATCCTACCGCGAAATAACGCGACGAAGGTGCGCGAGGGAAGGGCAAACGAGTTGAACACCACGAACGTCGTGTTCTTAAGATCTTTAGATTTCATCGTGAAGAATCAACATGGCGAGCGACATTTTAAATATTGGAGGTGCCCCGATCTTTGACAATCGTATCGTGAGAATAGAAACCCACACTTACAATTCGTACGCTAACACCACATTCGGATACAGCGACGAGATACGAATACCTACAGCAGCAGGATCTGTATACGTTGCCGTGCGAAAGTTTTCTGTACATCGAGGAAAAATTCGCGACGAGAGAGAGCGCGAAGGAAGGCACAGCGAAGGAAAGTACGGCGAAGGAAGTTACGAGAGCGAAGCTAGTCAACAACTGCGTCGCGTTTATGTTCGACGAGATTCGATACGCGATTCAAGCGTGGCGTGGAGATCGATAAGAATAGAAGCATCGAGATAACGATCTTGATGAAAAACTACGCATCGTTAAGCTATGAGAGAGATAGAGCTTTACAGAATACCGGATGGGAAATACCGCCTATAGCGTTAGACGATTTTAACTTTTGCGTGCCTCTCAACGTACTCCTCGTTTCTGCGAGGATTACAAGCGCATAATGAAACGCGCGGCGAACTCATTCTGATACGCGCTCGCAACGATAACAATTGCGTCGTGGCGCATCCGGATCAGAGATAAAAACTTACGTTGTTGAGAATACAGTGGCAAATGCGGCACGTGATACTGAATGACGTCAACAAACTGTCACTTCTGCGAACGTTGGACAGCGGACGATATGAGTATGAGCTTTCTGTACGAATGTACGTTGGTTCTGTACGTGGGATCTGTACGAATTTCCGCTGTTGCAAAGTACGACCAAGCATTCGTGGGCGATAAAAGCGGCGACACATTTGGAGAAACCGCGATACGTGATTTTCGCATTACAGATCGGAAGGAAAAATGTACCGTCGGAAGATATTTCTAAATTCGATTGTAAGCTGATTAATGTAAAACTCTATTTGAATTCCGAGTTCTATCCCTACGACGATATGAATCTAGATTTCGAGCGTAACAAGTTCGCAGTGTTGTACGATATGTATCTGAAATTTCGAAAGGCATATTACGGGTGCGAGACCTGCGAGACCGTTCATAACTGTCACTAGATTTCTGCAATACGATCCGCTCGTGGTCATTGCTCCCGCCGAATCGATCAAGAGCACCATCGTCGACGTTCGCGTAGAATTCGAGTGCAAAGAGAACGTTCTGGCTAACATAACGGTTTATTGTCTCATCATTCACGATAGAGTTATAGAGTATAACCCGCTGATGAATGTCGTAGGTAAACTTACGTAAAAAAACAGGAAACCGCGGTTTTCCCTACGCGATATCGATAACGAACGTATAAAAAAGAAGAACGGAGCGCGAAAAAAAACAGGAAACCGCGGTTTTCCTTATGCGATAGCGATAACGAACGTATAAAGAAGAGCGGAGCGCAAAGATATCGAATTTCCCCGTTTCGCGATGATGTCGAACGTACCGATCTTCGTCGATCTGCAAGGTTTTACCAAGGAAGAAATTTACAATTAAAGAAGTGGCGATATTAAGAAATGGAAAAGAGCTGACTCATCGAATGTTTCGAGAAGCGATACTCTGGAATCTTCTTACAAAGGCGAAGAAATCTAGAGCGTGCTGGATAACAGCACGGTCTGCAGTGGAGCGACGGCGACGTCGCTTACAGATTTTCGAAGACCGTGATTCGAAGCGGCGTGTACGACCGATCGCGAGACGTACCTAGACGAGTGTACGTCAAAGGCTTGGAGAAAAAGAAGTGGTTGGAGGAGATTCTCGGCGGCGACGTCATCGCGGACCACGACGTGATCGTCGAGACTATTGACGCGAATTTCGAGGATATAGGAACCATATCCTCGAAATCCGCGTCCTCCACCTAACCACGTTGGACGACGTTCGTGCCTTCTACTGCGAGCGTCATGCGAAGAATTGCGCCATGGAGAACGTGTACAAAGTGTACAACTGGTGAAACGACACGAATGTATCACCGAACTGTAATGTCACGTTAACGATTTATATCATATTATATCATATATCAGATTGTTTTCAACTATTATATTATATATCAGATTCATTGCTTATATTATAATCAGATTCTTTTATCGCTCGCAGCTTATATACATGCTTGGGGAAGTACAAATAAAAAAACATTTTTACAATATATATCTCACTTTATTTCATCTCAATCTTACATCCCAAAGAACAGAGCAACGAGTTCGCAATCGATAATGTCGTTACGATCGAAGGCATCGCTATCGCGTATGACTCTCGAGATATTCTCCGTATTCTTAGTGGACGCGACATCCTTGAAACGCGCCAATTTCGCGTTGATCTTTCCTAATATCTTAGTCAAAGTCGAGATAACGAGTCGGTTGACGCAATGCTCGAGCTCGAACATATTATTCATCGTTTCCTTCGACATGGCCAAGCGAACCGCGGGCGTTTCCAGGCGTAATATCGTCAGGTTGTTGATTCTTCCGAAACGTACAGTCATATTTCCAATATGCGACGGGGCCGGAAAGGACGATTCTCCGTTGGTACTTTACAGATACTTCGAGAGAACGTGTCGTTGCTCGAGAAGCTGCCTCCACATATCAGGCGACACTTCCTTGCTATCGAGACCTCCTTGCTATGCAATGACTATCTCCCAGGATAATATTCACGCACGAGGAACGTTCAAGAGTGATACATACATTGAGGAACTTGTATCCCGTTTTAGTCAAGGAATATTTTCGTTCTAGAACTCTAACTGGATTATTCGTACAACCGGTGTTGTTATAACTCGACGCGATCGGCCTGTCATCATCGAGCGTTCTCTCCTGCTCGCGTCATCGCTCTCGTCGACTCGATGCGTCTTGGAACCCTGCGAATGCTCGATATCTTTACAATCGGAGAGATCGCGCGATACTGATCGTTCGTAAACGTTTCATATCCTTCGCTCTATACACTATACGAAAACTTTCGTGCTTCTTCCTCCTCCTTCTCCTCTTCTAAATCGTCCTCGCTCGAAAATACGTTTCTCATCTGAGCGAGTCTTTTCAGAAGAGCGCGCAATTGTTCTAACAGTCCGTCCCTTGGACACACGATACCAAAAATCTCCGGGTCGAATTTACCGGCCATAGTTATACTTCTGATAAACTCGTTGTACTTGAAGAACTGTCGTTTAACGATAAAGTACAGTTACATTATCGTCAATGTATCGAACGACGGACGTTACGGCGGGTGGAATCCCCGGAAATATCGCGTGCAACGAATTATGTCTGACAGCTATCATCGAGCAGTCGTCGATCTCGGCCACGATCTCGTCGTTGTAAATCGTGAATGTTCGTATTAACCCGCGTTAGTATTAACTACAGCGTTGATTTTCACGTTAGGAGGAAGATTTATATCCTTCAGTTTCCTCGGCCAACCCGGTACTAGCTCGAAACTCGGATATTCTGCCATGTAAACCATATCGTCTACGAACAATACAAGTTGACCCGAGGGTCGTCGATACGCGCTCGCCAAACGCGTAAAATTATCGGGAAGGAAACACAGATAGTCCGTCAGTAACAACGATCTGCCGTAAGATTTTCCGTTTAAGTCGATCGACCATAAGTGGCGTCGATACGCCACGTACATTCTATTTTCTAACACCAACACCGCGTCGACGCGTCGCAACACGCACAGATCCGCGGAATCGCCCGTGTTGCGCATTGCGATCGTGGTCGTCGCTACAGTCGTTGTTGCTGGTCTCAAGACTTTGCTCTTTCCTTAAACCGTATAAATTCTGAATGACGAGAAAATCCGCCTCGCTCAATCGCACAGGAAAAGGAACGAAGACGTACATTATCAAATTTTCTGAGGACTGTGATGTAATCCTAACGCGTGGCCGATCTCATGCGTCAACGTATGCAGTAGATGAATCGTATCGTTAGGATTAGCGGTCAGTTCGATGTGCCACTTCTCCGCGTTATCCACATGCACCTCCGACATTTTGGACGATGGTAAAAAGGCGTGAGCTAGTATGTTTCCTGGTCCGTCCAGCAACGGACATATTCGGCTATCTCGATGTCGAAAATCTACGAACGTGTGAAAACCCTTCCTAAATGATAGCACGATATCGGGATTCATCGAATCGCGCTCGAATGTTAGCGACGAATTCGTTGCCCACATCTCGAACGCGACCTCGGTGACTCGTAGAACGCTCTCGCTCGCCAGGTGAAAGCGTTCCAAGCGAGGCGCGTCTTCGCCCATTTCCTCGGAAACTTGTCTAAGTCAAAACTCGATATATCTCTGACGCCACATCGCGGTTTACGCATCTGTTCCAACGTAGCCTCGTTAAGAATCCCATTACTAGGTATACGATAATACTCCTGGAAAAGCGATCGCGTGTCTCAAAGCCAATGTCGCGTTATCGGATATCGTTTGCACGTTATCGCCATCTAGGTATCCGTAATTTTGCAAAAAACGAATCGCCTCCTCGTCACTATCGGCGAGGTCGCTATCGGCGGCGGAGTCGCGAATCGCCGCGATAACGGCTATCGCGCACGCGACTACGGCGATCCCACGCGCGGGCGTCATCGCGCGAGGTGAAAATCGAATCGACATTGCGCGTCGCTGATCGAAATATGCGCGAGCCGCTCGATCGATGTCGCTATCAGTCGCGAGGGGGCCGAGACTGACGCGATGAATCAATCTAACTCGCGAATCGGAAATTTCAACCGCTTAATTTCTATTCTCTATTGCGCGATAGCGAGATTATTCTCGTCGAACGAGCCCAAATATAAGATCTCTCGTCTCGCGATTACGCTTCAACGAATGACGATCTCGCTAAAGATCTCATACGTAATACCATTAAAAAGTACATAAAGTAAAAGTACATAATAGAGAACAAAAAGTAAAAGCATAATAACGATAGAATAGCGATAGAATAGAAAAAATAAAGAACGATAAAATAAATATATCGATAGACGAATCTCCTATCGCCGTTGCGGTCGGACTTCCTGTAGTCACACGTAGCGAGCGCGAAAATGACGCATTGCAAAATCATCTAAATATCCTTTTTTCCTCATTATTCTTTACCTCTCTTTTTACATTCCTAATAAAATATTCTCTCGTTATTATTAACACTCGTACGACGATTTTTTCCTCGCGCGACTGCCACCTCTCGTCTCTCTCATACGTTCTCGATAACGTCACCCTCAGTATCGCAAATTGAAAACTTCTGGCACGTTGCCGATCCGCCTCTCGTCTCTACGAGATGCAAACGAACGAGGAAAGGAAACTCCATCTCTCGCGGTTAGTTAATCGCCGCAACAACGATGCGTATTAATGACGATTCGCATTGTTCTTTTTTATTTCAGTATATCTCGTACATATATTGTTTTATTACTCAGCATATACTTATGAATTCATCATATTTGTATACATATTTTTACACATATATTCGTATACATATTCGTGTACATATTTTTATACATATATTCATATCAGTATATTAGTGTACATATTAGTATATACTCTTATACATAGACATATACTCGCGCAAATTCGCACTCTACCACAATCGATCTCTCTCGCGATAATTTGCGCGAATGTCATAGCGATATATCCCTACTCACTGTCGCATTCGACGCTTTTCGCTTCCCCACGCACTTCGGGCACTCTCCTCAGATCATCGGCGACTCGATCTATTAATTGTCGCACTAACTCCTTCTTCTGATTCGACGCGGAGTTCAAAAATTGAACTCTCAATTTCGTGTATTTCCAATAGTTACGTCTCTTCTTCTTGACTATATCCTTGACGTTGTACACGTATATTCGAACCAACTCGCAATCGGTCTCCTTCTCGCCCGAAGATCTCGCCTCGAGCTGTCGCCCACTCTTCGTCAACTTCGTCACGTACTGAACGAATCAATCTCCTCCTTGTCTCCAGATAGGGACGCGAACAACGCATCTAAACTGCCACAACTCTCGTCATTCTTCCTCGCCGTATCCAGATGCGCAAGATATTTCTCGTACTCGTCGTCGAGATCTCCCTTCGTCGTATTTAGACGCGCCAGATGCTCCCTGTACTCTCGTATCCAACTTGAGGAAACCTCCCTCGCTATCTCGATTTCCATGAGCGACACGCGCTTATCCGGCGTCGCGGAACTCTCGACCAAGCGAACCATGCTCTCTCCAGAACAGTACGAGTACCACGGACCTTTCCGACTCCACACGTCGATGACGATACGTATAGCGTTTCCTCATACGCTCGGCCTCGCGTATATGCGCGATCGGCTCCGTTTCTCGACGAAGCGTTAAATGTTTAGACAGAAACGCCATCATCAGCCGCAAATTACACGCCGTCGAATGCATAGACGTCCACATCGCGCGCATCAACTCGAACGAGTCAATCGCGTCACTCTTGGCTTCCCGTCCTCCTCTTCTTCCCGTTCGATCATCGATCGTTTCTTCTATTCCACGATCTCGCGTTCCATCTCTCTCGAGAAACTCGAGCGGTCTAAGAGCGATATTATCTCCGAATCCTTCAATTGATTCTCCGGAACATTAGACTGACTCTTCATCTCACAAACTAACGATACATCGTCGATACCTCTAGTTAAATACTCTAAGGCGGCGTAAAAAAACGCGCTAGACCCCACGGAAAACGCCTAGACCTGCGACCGCCCGGGGGAAACTGACCCGCGATCGCCCGGGGAAACCCCACGACTGTCGTAGGAAAAGAAAACCATCCTTCCATCCAGGAAACCGACCGAGGAGGATAAACTTACCCCGACGACCGCCGGAGGAATCCACCTTTTCCTCCCCCCCCCCAATACAAACCCTTGGGGAAAGAAAACCATCCTTACCGACCGAGGAGGATAAACTTAGACCGCCAGAGGGATCCACCTTCTCCTCCCCGGATATGAACTCTCTAGAGATCCTACGACCCCCCTTCCTCCTCACCCCCCTTTCGCCCCGGGGGGCTTAGGATTCCCCTTATCTACTGGCAATCATCCAGATCGAAATAAAAAAGCTGTTCTCGCGTTACGACAACTAATCCTTGTGTGCGATTTTGACTTCTTCTTTTACGCGCCCCCGTTCTGCGAACCTCCCTCTCTATCATCTGCACGAGCTGTCGGATTATCGCTTCCGTCCGCGAATCTAAGTTTAATTATTTAAGGACAATTTGTGATTCCTTTCGTTTGAGTGAGTGGCACGTGTTCGTGCCTGGCGCCCAATCTATCGTAAATTACGTTCTGAGAGACCGTCCTCAGGGACGGCAGTCATATATATATAATGTATATGTAGTTTATACGTATGTATTGGGTTGTCGGAAAAGTCATGACGCGTTTTTGTAACAGATGACGCTAGATCATTTTTGGACGTACTAGAATCATTCGCATCTATGTTATTGCTATGTCATTTGACAGTTGACAGCTGAAAGTTCTAGCTTCATTCTAAAAAAAATTGAGCAATTTGGTTGAGTTTTGAAGATTTTGGAGATAATAAGTTGAAGATGGAAGACCAAACTGTGCATTTTCGCCATATATTACTGTTTTACTTCCGTAAAGAGAAAAACGCGCGTCAAGCTTGTGAAAAGTTACGTAAAGTTTACGGTGACAATGCTCTACAAGAACGCCAACGGAACGATAGTTCACGAAATTCCATGCTGGTGATTTTGATCTCAACGATACTCCTCGGTCAGGGAGATCCAAGGTTGATGACGACAAAATAAAGACATTGATCGAGCCAAATCCATGTTATACGACACGAGAGATTGCAGAAACATTGAACATCTATCATTCAAGTGTTCACAACCACCTGAAGAAGTTGGGATACGTAAGCAAGCTCGCTATTTGGGTTCCTTATGAACTCAAAGAAGTTGACTGCGCATATAAACATCTGCGATATGCTCATTAAATGTGAAGAAAAATCTTTTTTGAAACTACTGATAACTGATAATGAGAAGTGGATTGTTTACAACAATGTGCGCAAACGGTCTTGTTCTCGACGTGATGATTCGCCTCAAACGACATCAAAAGCAAACATTTATCAGAGAAAAGTTACTCTCAGTGTGGTGAGATTTTGGTATCGTGTTTTTCGAGCTCCTACCAAGGAACCAAACAATCAATTCGAATGTGTACTGTCGGCAATTGGACAATTTGAACGAATCCATCATCCAGAAACGTCCAGTGTTCGTTAATCGTAAAGGAGTTGTGTTCTATCACAACGCGAGACCACACACAAGTTTGACCACCCATCAAAAATTATCGGAGCTTGGATGGGATGTGTTGCCACATCCATCATACTTATCTGATCTTGCGCCATCAGATTTCCACTTATTTCGCTTTCTTCAAAACTCCTTGCATGATATAACATTTAATTCATCACATTTAGATGAGACTGTAAATCAGCACCTTGTTCAGTTTTTCGCCAATAAAGATAGGTCTTTCGCCAATAAAGACAGATCCTTCTATGAACGAGGAATTGTGAAACTCACTGAAAGATGGCGAAGGGTTATCGAATAAAACGGGCAATATATCATTGATTGATCTTTCTTTAAATAAATAAATGACCTTTGAAAAACACAGAAAAAATATGTCATGATTTTTCCAATAACCCAGCATGTATGTATGTATGTATGTACGTATATACGTACGTACGTACGTACGCGCGCGCGCGTGTGTGTGTGTGTCGTATGTACGTATGTCGTGTGTACGTGTGTACGTATGTACGTATGTATGTATGTCTGTATGTATGTATTTCTTGTAGTTTTATATATTTTATATATTATCATCGTAGTTACCATACATGTATAGTTTTTTTTTAATTAAGACTCTTTGTATTGTAACGATACGCCTCCCGCACACCGTTTTAAATGTAAGTGTGACCGGGCTCCGCGTCCGAACACACCGACCATCGCGCGCGCCCATAAGATCGAACACACCGACCGCTGCACAACAAACATGCACTCGTCACGTGCGCGTCAAATACCGTCGACGACCCGCACTATTTTGCAAGCTGCAAAATAACAAAACGCAATGAGTATATAATATCCATAGAACCGATAGAACCAGATCGATCCGATCCTCCGGCCTGTTCCCATCTCCAACCGATACCGAGACCAGGCATTCCTGATCTTCGCCGAGTATACTCGACACCAGGTATCATCTATCTGCAAAAGTGAGAAAATCGGGACAGAGCATTCTCAGCCCTGCCAAGCATACTTGGCTCTCGCTCCTCCGAGACAGAGCATCCTCAGTCTAAACGCTTCCTTGCTAACGATACGATATGAGCAAATCGGGACGGAGCATTCTTAGTTTCCGACAAGTATACTTCACTCGTTTCTCCTATCTTCTAACTCCGAGACAGTCGGTCTCACCACTCTTACCATTACATGAACACACGAAACGGAGTATTCTCGGTTTTCGACAAGTATACTTGCCTCTCGTGTAAAATCCACGAGTAGGAGCGAGCATTCTCCTGACATTCGAACGCGCATCGATCACGCGGCAACAACGAATAACGCGGCACGCACTGCGAGTACTATCAACAAACTGCCGTTCAACCAATCACGCGCCTATGTAACCATA